CTTTTATTTTTTACTAAACATGCCGAGTTAGTGACAAAGGGAGTGCTAGATTAAGATGCACCTTCATAAGGGGGCTTATGGAAAATTAGGCATCAGTTTGGCTCTACACCCTCTGCTATAGGATTTCCTTAGAGTTTGCTTTGTTTCTTTCCTATTTGATACAGTGCATCAGATACTTTGACGCTTAGGTTTCTTTAAGATGGGAAGAGAAGGACTCTGTTTGTTCAATTACTGAAGCCAAAGTAAAATTAAAAAACAAGTGGAATAAACAGAGAATGGATAAGCTAGAGTTCACTGTTCATCTCTGGAGTGTTTTTTAGTTTTTTTTATCAGTGCTATACTCTCGGGTTTAAATTGATCATTGAAGAGAAGAAATGAAAATGTGATAAGAAGCACAACCGAGATGGATGCAACATTCCATCTTCTTCTCTACATTGGATAAAATATTGGAAGTTCCCAGGATATTGAATCTCCCTCCCCCCAACTCACAAATATGGACAAATATATGCAAGTTCAAGAAATAGGTGCATCACCATCTGAATATCCTAAAAGAATCTAATAGAAGCAGCACAACTACCCATCACAAGAAGTAGAAAAAAAGTTGAGTAAGATTAGAGGGACTTGCACATTTTGCACAACCACCCTTCACTGCATATGATGTTGAAGATTAATCCTTGCTTGAATATTCCAGGGACGAAAAGGTGGTCTCCCAAGCTGCCGAGCTGAACGAGAAACTTGATAGAGTTCTCAAAAGACACGATGCACTTCTTTCTGTTAGACCACCCTCTACTTCAAATCCACATGATCATGGCCAGTCAGAAGAAGAAGAGGAGCCTGAACAGCTTTTCCGAAGGTAATGCCTTTTTAGAATGCCGAACTTAATGTGGAACTGCAAGAAATACACTGGTAGTTTCTTTTTAATACAATAAACCATACCATCAATAAGAAGTAATACCAGAATAACTAAATCCAGCCATAACTAATCCCACTATAACTGGTCTCATCATAACTTGTCGTCAAGCCAAATGACCCCTTACAGTTCTCGCTTGTACCCACCTCATAACAATCAGCCTTTTGTACTTAGATGACTTTTGTTTGGGTTTTAACAATAAGCTCTACTCGATAGGATAAGAAAAGGAAAAGCTCGGTTACAGCCGGAAGATGAAGGCAGCAAAGTAGAACGTCCTTTTGGATTGCTAGGATCTGCAGTTCCAGGGGATATGCTACATCGTCCCCTTATAAGACCGATGGTTACAGAGCAGAAGCAAGAAAACAACATTGAAAAAACATCTGCTGTAGCAATTCCTCCACCACCTGCAAAACATGCTGAGAGAGAAAAATTCTTCCAGGATAACAAGTCTGATGGCTCGGCTCCATCTGGTCACATGAGGGGCCTCTCCTTACATAGTCGAAACGCCAGCAGCTCTCGCAGTGGCAGCATTGATTTCAGTGAATAGTATGCTTTCTTATGTTATATGTTTATCCCTTTTTTATTTGAAGTTTCTTTCACCTGTATCAAGCTTTCTTCTTGAGTGCCATTTTAAGATATGTATGTGGATATTGTGTGGGTTGAGGGTTGGAAGTTATCAACATTCTTATATGCCAGTTTAAATTTGACATTCTGTTACATACATATACTATACAACAAACATTTGTCTGCAGTTCTCAGTTTTCTACTTGAGGAGACCCCATTATACATGATTTTTTTTTATCTCAGGTTCAAAACTCAGCGGAGATTAAAAAAACACTAAGTGATTTTTTCCATCTGTCCTAGTTTGGGTGGATAGAGTTACATGGTACTTGGTTGCTGGTGGGAAGTGGGCAGGTATTCTGTGGAATTAGTCGAGGTGCGTGTAAGCTGGTCTGGACACCACAATAAAAAAATAAAAATATTTTGAAACGTCTAACGTATGACAAAGAACATTACACGAGCACATAATTCCATAATTAAAGATTTCATTCCGTTGAAAGATATGCACATACATAACTATTTATTTGGCAAAAACTCTCTATTTTGTATAAAGTTTAAGATTTGAAAAATACGTACTAAGAATGCTTTTATTATGTGGATTGAAATTTAAAAATTTCTAATTGTTAAGCTCTTAGATTTCCTTCATTTTTTTTTATTTTTGATGCCTTGACTCTTAGTTTCAATCAAGTAAGAAAGGGAGCCTTTTTTGTTATGGCAATGGGTATAGACTTCTTCCCTCCGTTGATTTAAATTAGATTTCGGATTAATTTATATAGAGTGACTGCCTTCATTATGTTGTTGGTACTGTCAAGTTGCACTTCACGAATGTGCCTTATGCTCTTGAAATTCTAGCTCATCCTCATCCATTCTAGTTAGTAGATTTAGATTCGTATCAATTAGGTCACTATCATCAATACCGATCTCATCAAGAAGAAAACTTTTAGGCTTCTTATCAAGGAACTTGTTCAGAATTACCGTGATGAAATCAAGAAAGATAAGAGTTTATCGCTAGGTATTTGACCAAATAGGATCGTTCAATTCCTACCAATGTTTTTTGCCCAAATCAATCTTCATTTTTTCTTTTTGGAAAGGAAGGAATGCAGGAAATAAGTCTTTTCTTTCTGAATTCGCTCTTCTCTGTTGTTGGTCTGAAAATAAAGAACGACCTTTCAAATTTAAATTCGATTGTGGTTTGTTATCAAATGCATTGATTAAAGTTAAAAGCTCGTCAATTTCTGTTGATAGTAGTGTTTTTGTTGTTACAGAATCTGTGCTACAAAATGAATCTAGTCACCATACACCATCCAATTTAGCCAGGACTATAACATACGAAACAAACTACAATTATTAATTTTAGACTTCTTCTATCAATCTGGAAAAAAATTAATTTTCAAGTAGCTTTAAAATGGGTGCCTTAAGAGTTTAAATATTTGTACATTTGATTATGAATTTATTGATAGTACTGTAGTAGTTTCCTTTAATTTTTAATTAGTAAAATATAGTACATATCTTAAAGATTTTATATTTAAATAATTTTCTTGTCTTTTATAATATTTAAAAAATGAAATATTAAAAATAATTTTATGTAGCAGGTCTCTTTGGAAATGGATTTTATACTGAAATTTATATTAATGAAAAATTTTATTTGCTAAAATGGATGGTAAAAAGCAATAATTTCTTTGTCATAAAACCAAGTAAAATAGAATGGAAGGATATGCCTAAGACAAAAGTAATGTTTTGGAAGAAATTAATTATGTTTTGAAAATTTAAGTTGGACTATTATTAATTTATATAACTATTAAGTGATAAAGATAATATTGGGAGAAACAAAAATCTTTTAATTTGTTAAATTGAACAGTAAAAAATAATAATTTATTTTTAATAAAAGCCAAGTAAAATAGAATAGAGGGGATATGCTTGAAATAAAAGTATGTTTTTGAAAAAAAACTCAAAATAATTTTGTTAATAATTATTATGCTTTTACTAAATATGTTTCACTCATATGAGGAAATAACATAATTAGTTGGAAAGAAATATATTAAAATTTAACATTATTTCTATATATGATTGGAAGCTGAAGAAGTAAATAACTTAACATTATTTCTATATATGTCATAGAATTTTGAAATAGATAATAAGGTAATAAAATTTATGTTTATTCCTATTTTGCTTCAATGTCATACCTATATATATTCACTTGCATCCACTTCAAAAATCAGAGTAACACTTATTGAAGAAATGAAAATGACTTCTCTTTTTACTTCATACTTTCTTCCTTTAGTACTTGTCGCAACCATTTTCAACTTTCAAACTTCTTTATGTGACATTAGTGCAGACGAGGCATTAATAACAGGTATATGTAGACAAGTACAAGATCTTCAATTTTGCTTAACCACTTTTAGACAAATTATACCTTCTCATCCATATGTTCCTGAAGAAGTAACTCGAGCTGCTATCACCAAATCATTACAAAATGCTAATGACAACCATGCTTTCGTAGAGACGGCTAAAGCAAATGCAAAAGACAAAGAGACCAAAGACTTGTATAGTATTTGTGACAGTAGTTATGGATTGTTGATAACCGTGCTCCAAGATGCTGCTAAATCATTAGCTAACAAGGATTATAATGGCTTAGAAAATGACCTCTCAAAGTGTCCCCAATTTGTGAGTGACTGTCAGAATGTACTTGGTAGTAAGACAACACCTGAAATGTTAGATAGAAGTAGAAAACAATTTGATCTTGTATTAATGGCAAAAATTGCTGAACAACTCATTAAAAAATAGGTTGTTTATATAATTATTATAAATGAATTTGTCTTTCTTGAAAGCTAGTATTAGCTAATTAAGAGGAGATTATTGATATTTCGATAAATTATTCTTACTATCTCAAGTGACTAATTATATCAGATCTAAGTTTATCATTTTCATTTGAGCATTGGGATATTTTTTCAGCTTACTTGTTAGAATTTTTTCTCTCAATTACTCATTTATACCTTTTTATTTATGATTTAATTTAATAATGTGTAAGTTAATAGTAAGCCTTAGAGCCGCAAATCCTAGTAATTCAAAAGGATGTTTTACTTGGCTGAAAATACATACGACCATCATCTTATGTGGACTTTTACTTATCTATAATGAAATGGAAATTTTATGTTATATTGATATTAACACAACAAATCAATTAATTTTTTTTTTATAATGGTCAACAGTCAACCGTTTTTATAAAGATTTTTTTTATTAAACAAAAACACTTTTTAATTACATATGAGTTTGAAATCACCACTTCAATTATGAAAGATATGAAGCTCACCAAGTGAGTTAGTTCTCAACTCCGTCTAATATGAACCTGTGAAACAAGTTATGGTATATTTTTAGTATTTTTTTTTAATTTTAAATCAATATATAATTCTTCAATATATTTGACTTATCCAAAATAAAAATAAAAAATTGAAGTAAACTATCATCACCTTCTATTTTTTTGTTAGGTATTACTGGCATAAAAGGTGTAAACGAAATTAACATGCATGACTGATTAAAGCTTGTTTCATTTATTTTTGTAAAATCTTATTCAACTCAACCTCATGATCATAAACCTAAGAGGATGATTTATTTGTCTTAATACATCATATTTCTTAATTAAATGAAATTACATAAGTTTCATGACCCATATAGAGCTAGTCCGCTCGATCATGTTAAGACACTACAAGTGATAGATGTTTATTTCTTGAAAAGCTTAATCCCTCTCCAACGAGACTCCATTCGATCAGACTCATTATCTTGTGTATAAACTCCAAATTTGAAATAATGATGGTCTCCACCTCTTCCTGATGGTTCATGCTTGAGAACTTCATTAATATAAACCTTTAATTTACTTGCACCAACATCATGAATCACATTTAGTCTGATCCATCTATTATAAATATTTGATTCAATAACTTTTTCTCTATAGTAATAGAGAGTTCCATCATAAACTCTTAGCATTAAAGTTGTGGATGATGGTGATGCTCCAAATACTTGCATTATTGACACACCAGATGAACCACTTGGCACATAGAAATATCCCTCAAATTGTCGAACACCAGATGAATAATCATTCCCCTATATAATAAATATATCAATCAAAAAATAATCACTAAACTATTAGATACTTTCACTATAAGAAAACATGTAATAGCTACGGAATTTGTCTGTTGCTAATTTCTTGTTTTCTAGTAGTGATCTCAATTAGATCGATAAAAAATTCTTGTGAAGTAAAGGTTATATGCTCCAATTATGGTCTAATTTTGACTCAATAGATCTAGCCAACAAGGATGGAGTCAGAGCTAGAGGATTGTGATGTACAAATGAGAAACATGAATACCTAATCGATTGATGAGTCAAAATCATATCATTGAAACAAAATACTATGTCATGTTATGATGACATAGTAATTGACAATATATCGACCACAACTAACTTGAAATTAAACCAATACACAAGTAATTGAAAAAATTGATGAATTTTTCTTTGAACTTTACCGTTATACGAATTTCACAACGGGGTTTTGTTTGGCTAGATGTAGTGTGAGGCTTGTCAGTCTTGTAAACCCAAAATTTGTGTACTCCATCAATGAAGGAATACCTTTGATTCACAGGCACATCATAAGGCTTTTGAATTTCGAAATTGCCTTGGTTAATAGATATGGGAGTGAAACCATCAGTAGGATCAGCTTTGCAAAACAAATGGTTTTGAATTACAATTAATTGGAAAAGAGTGAATAATAGCAATGGAAGATGGAAAGAAGAGTAAACCATGTTTTAATTTCTTGATGGAACTTAATACAATAGATTCAATATAAGTTTTGTGGAATGATATGAGTACCAAAGTTGTCTATTTATAGGGAAAATTTATGATGGTGACACATATAATTAACATCATTGGGACATATTGCATGAATATGAATTGATAGGACTAATATTGAGTCTTTGCCACTTGGTTTTGTACGTTTCTTTCACATTCAATGATTTTGAATGGACTAACGACTTAAAAGAGAACTATACAGGATTTTTGGTCGATAGTATCGGCATATTTTGGTGAGTTTAGGTCTAAGCTATTCTGGTGATAAGACTTTACTTGTTATAGTCTTAAATTGATGTATGATTCGTAGAATATTATTTGGAAAATGTATTGGCATATATTATATCGTAGTGTTGTCAGAAATTTGTATGAACAGATTCAGGAAATTACTAAAGTATCATGACTCGAAAATAAATTAAAAAAATCAATTATGTTTTTCTATATTTAAATCTTCAGATTTTTTGTGCCAAATAAATTATAGATGAAAATCATCTACACTCCCAAACTTTAATATAAAAAAACAAACTCACTCCTCAATTTTGAGAAATAATCATTCTCTCTATTTATACTATGATAAGTTTATTTTATGATCCTTATCATTTTTAATCTTCCATCTATGTAATATAAATATATATTTATATATATAATATGTTATGTTAATCTTTCATCTACATGCTTTGTAATTTGATCTTATTTGTCATTTATGTTCTCCAACTTATGGGTGTGCACAAGTAGGCCATTTAAATTTGTATAAAATTGAACAAGTAGACACACGCGTCTAACACATAACATAATATGTGTCATACATGACATAATATAAATTAGTTCGAGTGTATCCCACACAAATTGTCATATAGAACGTGTGTGTCTACTCGTCAACTTTACATAAGTTTCAGTGTATATTTGTGTACAACCAAAGTTGGAGGGCGTAGATGACAGCTAAAGCCAAGTCGAAAGGACACGTTTATATAATTATGTTTATCTCTTATTCTCTATTATCTATGTAGATAAATGAACTTTGATTGTCATTAATGATTTAAAAAAATATATATAATCTCAAATTTATTTTCAATATAATAAAACTAATCTTTTAAGAAATTGTTAAGAAATATATATTATTTTTATTAATTTGTTTTTTATTACTTGCATCAAAATATATTTATAAGACTACCATTTTATGTTTGCTATGGAGCTTTGATTTGTATAATTTGTATACCAAATGGGTAATTATATACCGAAAATGACTAATTGTATATCGAATCAGATGGCAAAAAAATGGGATGTTTGCTGCGAATTACAAATAAAATAAACTATGGCTATAACATTTAATTTGAATTAATAATTTTCTATTCATACAATTTTCCCATTTATTGTTTCTCAAAGTTCAGGGGAGTTTGATTTTTAAAGTAAAGTTTTGTAAATGATTTTCACCCCATAAATTATGAAATTGAAAAATCATACCCTTGATTTTTATAGAGTCAAAGAACTGAAAGGTGATCCCTACATTGTAAGTGTGTAACATGTCCAATCGTTAATTCATTTGCTAGATGACTTTTTCTTTGAACGTTCGATATGATTGAAAAAAAATATATATATCACCGAATTATCATAAATAGTACGTTAATATCCTTTGTTATGTTTTTTGGTTGTGTATATCTTTCGTTAATATTTTAGAATGTATATACCCTTAGGATAGACGGAGGGATATATGTCATTATTTTAACGGTCTACCAAAATTTAATTTAATTTTTACCCACAATTAAAAAAACTCACCCATTTTTTTCATAATTTTAAACCATCCATAACCCGGTTAAAAACCCTCTTCTCCTTCATTTTTTTCTTTTTTGGAAAGGAATGAATGTAGAGAAGAATTCTTTCCTTTTTGAATTTGTTCTTCTCTGTTCTTGGTCTGAAAATAAAGAAAGACCTTTCAAATTTATACTCGATTTTGGTTTGTTACAAAATTCATTGAATACAATTAAGAATTCGTCAATTTCTGTTGATAATAGTATTTTTACTGTTACAGAATCTCGTGCTACAAAATGAATCTAGTCACCATACACCATCCAATTTAGCCTTTTTAGTAGGGAAAAATGATAAATATATCTCCGAACTATCAAAAAATGGTATTTGAATACTCTCCATTATACCTTTTTAGAACACTAATGACCTTATCATCTAAGGGTTGTATTCTATATATATCCTTTGAACTAACGGAAAGACACATGTCCATAATCTTATCGACCTATTCAAAAAAAAATTATTGTCAAAAAGGGAAAAACGTTCTTTTAAAATAAATCAAAAAAATAAAACAATCAAATTAATATGAAGAGAGTAAATTTACATATGATGAATTAACAAAGAAAAGAACAAAATCATGAATCATTATTCAAAAACCTAAAATTATTAGAGAAAGAAACTGGATGCCTTGTGGTAGGCAATAAGTTGACTTTGAATTAATGGTGTATTAATTTTTCTGAAACTAGCATAGGTAAGATACATTGTTTCTTGTTATATATGGATCTCGTAAATATAAGATATAAGACATAATACATAAACATGACCTTTAACTTGACGTCAGCTTGCAACTATGACCTTTAACTTTGAATGTGCACAAGTAGGCACTTAAACTTGTATAAAATTGAAAAAATGGACACATTCGTCCTACATGACACCCTATATGAAATTTTTGTGTCCTACGTGACATCTTACGTGTATTATGCCATGTAGGACATGTGTCACTTGTTCAATTTTATACAAGTTTAAGTGTCTATTTGTGCACACTCAAAGTTGAAGGACATAGTTATCCGCTGAAACCAAGTTAAGGGTCCTGTTTATGTATTATGCCTAGATATAAATTTGTAACATATCCAATTGTTATTTATACCCCTAAATTTTATTTTTAAAATCAAACTCCCCACCTTGACTATGAAAAATAATCATTCTCCTCTATTTTAAGTTTTTATTTTCGAGTAATTACTTCTAAACTCTTCTGGAAGGTTTCTTTGAAGTTTGAGTAGATCACTAGTGACTAGACTATCAATTTCACACCAATCATGTGGGCTGGCTGCTAAGTGATTGGAAAAGCTGACTTTTCTGATAAATATATGGTGCTCGTCACGGTTTATTTTTACTTGTCACTGTTTAATTTGACACATTCATTACGAAAATAATTATTGATATAAGTATTTTATCAAATTATTCCTATTAAATAAGGTTTAATATGAAGTCTTGGAAAATGAAAAATAAGTATTTAATGGTAATGGTAAAACTGTTTAATTTGACACATTCATTACAAAATAAAAAAGTGACGTTCTTTCAGACAGCCTAACACTTCATGAAACCTTATGAGATGTTCAAATATCTGAAAATAATAAAGTGACTCAGTAAGTTATATCGTATTGCGAATCAACACAAAAATAATATCTCGTTTATGATCTTTGGTACAGTAAAGTGCACAATATTGTAAAAGGTTGTAACATTTGAATCATACGTCTGTTAAAACATGATAATGTAAGAAGTAATTACCAAGTGACATAGTGCATCTCGACAAGCATAAAATTTACTGGATCCTCACGTCCAGACATCAGAAAATGTCACACATTTAAAAATTAATGGATGATGTAACCAAAACTCCGATATTCTTTTTAGATAGGATTTTGATGACAGTGACGTGAAAATAATTTCTTATAATCACATATAAATTTAATAGAAGAAAATGATATTTTCAAATCTTTTATGTGTAAGAATAATTTTTTCTTATAAAAAGTATAAAAAACTAAAAGTAAGTTTGTATAGGCTACAAAACCAAATATCTCACTTATAACAAGAGATAATATCTCAGATGATCAGTCAACTAAAAATTTAAAGTCACTCAACTAAGAATTTTTTCTCATAAACTCACTCAACCAATGGTTTATACAAGAAAGTCATTCAATATCTTTGGAAGATGTTCAATTGAGGTCATTCAACTAAGAAGTCTAATTATACCTTTTCTAAAACCAATGCAAGATGTTCAATTGAAGTCCCTTTGCCAAATAACTTACCACTAAATAAAATAAAATAAATTATTTTTTCATGTTATACATTTATTGAATTTTCTTAACATAAATTCTATTATCATGACAAATGGAGTCCAAATTTATTGTAAGTCACATTGTCAAATCTTAGTTATGATATACTTTAGTAATTTTGTAATTTCTAACTACACTATGATATACAATATGCCAACACATTTTCTTGACAATATTCAAAAAATCAAATATCAATTCAAGACTATAACAAGTGATAAAGTCGTACCACCAAAATAGTTTAGACCTAAACTCACCAAAATAAGCCGATACTATTGACCAAAAATCTTGCATAGGCCACTGTTTCATGAATTAGACTTCTCTTTAAGTCGTTAGTCCATTATTGAATGTAAAGAAACGTACAAAACCAAGTGGCAAAGACTAATTAACATACTCAATCTTACTCCTATCAATTCATATTCATGCAATATGTCCCAATTGTCTTAATTTTAAGTGTCACCATCATATATTTTCCCTATAAATAGACAACTTTGGTACTCAAATTAATATCATCCCACAAAAATTGAATCTATTGTATTAAGTTCCATCAAAAAATTAAAACATGGTTTACTCTTCTTCCCATCTTCCATTGCTATTATTCACTCTTTTCCAACAAATTGTGATTCAAAACCATTTGTTTTGCAAAGCTGATCCTACTGATGGTTTCACTCCCATATCTATTAGCCAAAGCAATTTCGAAATTCAAAAGCCTTATGATGTGCCTGTGAATCAAAGATATTCCTTCATTGATGGAGTACACAAATTTTGGGTTTACAAGACTGACAAGCCTCATACTACCTCTAGCCAAACAAAACCCCGTTCTGAAATTCGTATAACGGTAAAGTTCAAAGAAAAATTCATCAATTTTTTAATTACTTGTGTATCGGTTTAATTTCAAGTTAGTTGTGATCTGTTATATTGTCAATTACTATGTCATCATAACATGACATAGTATTTTGCTTCAATGGTCTGATTTTGACTCAATCGACTAGGTATTCATGCGTCTCATTTGTACATCACAATCCTCTAGCTCTGACTCCATCCTTGTTGGCTAGATCGATTGAGTCAAAATTAGACCATGGGAGCATATAACCTTTAGTTCACAAGAATTTTTAATCGATCTAATTGAGATCACTACTAGAAAACAAGAAATTAGCAATAAATAAATTCCGTAGCTATTGCATATTCTCTTGTAGTGAAAGTATCTAATATTTTAGTGATTATTTTTTGATTGATTTATTTATTATATAGGGCAATGATTATTCATCAGGTGTTCGACAATTTGAGGGATATTTCTATGTGCCAAGTGGTTCATCTGGTGTGTCAATAATGCAAGTATTTGGAGCATCACCATCATCCACAACTTTAATGCTAAGAGTTTATGATGGAACTCTCTATTACTATAGAGAAAAAGTTATTGAATCAAATATTTATAACAGATGGATCAGACTAAATGTGATTCATGATGTTGGTGCAAGTAAATTAAAGGTTTATATTAATGGAAATCTCAAGCATGAACCATCCGGAAGAGGTGGAGACCATCATTATTTCAAATTTGGAGTTTATACACAAGATAATGAGTCTGATCGAATGGAATCTCGTTGGAGAGGGATTAAGCTTTTCAAGAAATAAACATCTATCACTTGTAGTGTCTTAACATGATCGAGCGGACTAGCTCTATATGGACCATGAAGCTTATGTAATTTCATTTAATTTAGAAATATGATGTATTAAGACGAATAAATCATCCTCTTAGATTTATGATCATGAGGTTGAGTTGAATAAGATTTTATAATAATAAAGGGAAAATGCATAAGTACCCCCCAGCCTATGCCCGAAATCCCAGAGACACACCTAACCTTTACTAAGGTCCTATTACCCCC